GTGACTACGAGCTGCACTCCATCGACTTCTCGACATCTTTCTTGCAGGGCAACATCCACAAGGAGATCTGGTTGCGCCACTCACCTCGCTTCACCGGGTCGTTTTATGAGGGTACCCAGTGGAGCCTCATGCGGCCAGTCTACGGTCTCCATCATGCGCTCCGCAAGTGGCACGACACACTGAGGACGAAACTTGCGGCTCTTGGCTTTGCTCCTTCAACTGCCGACACGTCGCTGTTTTTTGCTCACCGACCCTTCTCTGCCGCCGTGCTACATCATCATGTACATCGAGAACTTGGTCTTTGCAACTCTGAAAGTCAGGCACTAGCGCTTTGAAGGCGGAGCTGCAAAAGAGACACACGTGCACAGACCTGGGTGAGCTGCGGAGCTATATTGGTGCAAAGCAGCGCGCACCATCACTCTGACTCAGTCACACATGGTGCAGCAGGTCCTTCAGCGCTTCTGCTTTCAGTTCTCCTCACCATAGCCCAGTCCTCTGCCTACTTGACACTCGCTCTCAGCTCCACCTTCGAACGAGTCGATAGAGCCGAGTAAACTGCATCCAGAGCTTGTGGGTTGCCTCATGTAAGACGCTTTGGAATAGAGGAAGGACGAAGTGCCATAGTGTGAGTGCCGGGGACTGGTGGAGGAAGAACAAGAGGAACACGAGGACTAGTACAAACAGTGCGAACAGGCGAGGTAAGATGAGACACAGGCTCACAACGCTCTGTCGGGGAGTTTGTCTGCTCAGTGTAGGGAGAAGGAGCAGGCAGTTTGGAGTCCGGCTGTAACTGGGGCTATGACGTGTTAGGCGGATGACACAGAACAGGTGGGATAAGGTCAGTGGAGGACGGAAGACTAAGAACCTGGTGGAGTGCTGAGCCAGGTGGTGGCAGCAACAATTGCGGTGGAGGCAAGAAAAACGGTTGCTGTTGCGCAGTACCTCTAGCACCTCCAGCTCCAGCACCTCCGGTACCAGCACCTCCAGCACCTCTAGCTCCAGCACCTCCAGCACTAGTACCTCCAGCACCTACAGCTCCAGTACCTCCAGTACCGCTAGCTCCAGCACCAGCAGCTTCGGTACCTCCAGCACCAGCGCCTCAAGCACCTGTACCTCTAGCGCCTCAAGCACCTGTACCTCCAACAACAATACCTCCAGCACTCGCGAAGCTGCTGCGGTGAGAGAGTCTCCTGTCGACGAGACTGCCACTGCTTTCCACCCCCAAAACCTCCACCAGGAGTACCCACGACACCATGACCAATAGGATGCTCAGGACCCCCAGAACCAGCACCCCTAGACTCAGCACCCCCAAAACCAGCACCTCCAGAGTTAGCACCCCCAAGATTAGCACCCCCAAAGTCCGCACCTCCAGTGTCACCACCCCCGACAGCACTGGAGTCCACAGCGACAAGCTGCAAGGGCGGGGGGGTCTACCTGAGACACACTTGAGGAAGCAGGACCCTGTGGGGGAGGGGGTCTACTTGGGGAGGACCTGGGATCAGGAAGAGAGGCGGAGGGGATGGGGGGGGGGGGGGCGGGAGACGTTCTGTAGGGGAAGAAATAGCAGTAGCAAACCGACTCGTCAAAGGTGACGTCCTAGGAGGACAGGACGCGTCGCGAGGCTGGGTGGTAAAACTACCAGCCAGGCACATCGGTGGGAAAGTCAAGGAAGACACAATGAACGGTGCAAAAAGAGAGCTTGTCCGCGGTGGTATGGCGGACAAGGTCATGCGAACCCCAGACCCGAAACGTCGACGCATCGCCAACCTCCACCTTCCAACGCAGTGTAGGCGAGGTCTCTGGCACGGAGACACGGGGCCAGAGATTGAGCTAATGCACGGCGTATTGGACCGCAAACGACCACAGAGAACGGGGAGCAATCGCATGGATCATGGAGGTGCGAGCAACCTCCATGACCAAGCCAATGCGGCGCTCAGCAATCCCATTCTGCTGCGGAGAGGCCGGAAGCGTGAACGACTAGGCGATGCCCTCCGCACGACAAACATCCTCAAGGAGGTGGGAGGAAAACTCACCACCTCTGTCAGAGTGCAGAAGCAGGACCTGGATGTCTTCCCGGAACCGTGTGTTAAGCTGGCGACGTACAGTGCGGATCCAAGGGATCAAGAAGCTATGGGCATCTGCCTTACTCTGCAAGGGGAAGACCGTGGCTATGGGATGCCTTCATGGATTGTTATAATGACAATCAGTTACTCCAACACCGACGGTGAGAGCAAGCAGACTAGTGGGAAGACGTGCGGAATAGGGATGGGGCAGGTGGGTTGACAAAGAAGGCAGGCTTTGGGTTGACAGCAGCGGGATGCTCAATGGCACATATGCAATAGTGATTCTTCACTAGGGTGTCTAAATGAAGATAACTTCACACAGAAATTTGAGTATACTTTGAGCGTACACATATTTACTTATGGTACCACTGGTGGCGTCAATGTGTTGTTGCTAATGGTGCTGGCATTGGAGGTCGGCATAGATGTTGGTTTGTTGGTACCATCCAATTTGCGATCACGGCAGAAGTCAGATTCTTCATCCTTTCGTTCATCAGTGCTACCTTACGGGGCTAGCAACCTTGAGGTATTAAATATCAAAACTTAATGATGAATTATGTGGTTTGATTTTCAATGACAACCTAAAGCATGCGTGTTGGGCTTTTTAGCTCCCCCATGCTTGGATTGTATTACAATGAACAAACTTGTATGTAGTGTAGATTCTACAAGGTCTCGAAACTGTATAGCAGCTATCAAATATGCAAGTATTGAATTCTTGTTCAACCCTTCTCTTTTCTCGACATTTTCTGTGGGCTGGGTCCTTGGGATTCCGGAACCCTAGTTTCTTGAAAGCAGTTTGCCAGGGTGAACAAAACCCGAGGCGCATTTGCTGACAACGCGTTTCTTAACAGTCCGATACCGTCTCCGTCTCAATCGCTCCCCCCTCCCACCGCTATGTTGCACTCATGTTGAGAATGACGGAAGAGCAGCCCTGATCTTATCTCACAAAGGCAAATCATTCAACCTCATCTCATCCATCATCTAGTCAACCCCCAGCAGACCCGGGCAACCGATTTAGAGTTTTAGGGTCATGAATTCACCCGTTTCCTACCCCTTTCATCCCCTCTGATTCCCTCCCTCCTTCTCCCCTGATTTCTTCATTCACCTCTGCTGACTTCGACCTTCCTACACCACTCTTCACCTCTCCACCACACCATTACACTGGTTCCTGACTCGTTATGTCATCGTTGGATTTCTGACTATTCTACATTCTCTTCTCATCATCTTTTTTCTTTCTTTCTTTCTTTCTTTCTTTCTTTCTTTCTTTCTTTCTTTCTTTCTTTCCCTCAATCTATCGCCACCCAGTCCCATTTATCGCCCCCTTCAAATTTTAGAGATTTTGAACAGTGTTCGTGCATAACGAAGTCAGGAATCATAATTTCCTCTATAATACACATGTGCTGTTTTGTGAGTATATCATTCCAATTTGATTCATTCCCCTCCCGATGCTTTCACCATTGCTTTCCAAACGCATCAGCTCATGTCATACCGCTTCCAGTTTCTCTTTGCAGGTCTCCTCAGTTCATAATAAATTTACTGTCTTGTTCATTTTTCATCAGTCCATCATTCTTTCAATCTCTCATGCCATTCACATCAACTGATGATCCTTTCATTGGTTCATGGCTGCTAGGCTCTTCAATAGTAGAAATTCCAGATTATCATAGATTGTTATCCAGGTTAGGAATGTGTAATCATTGATGCTTTTCTTGTATTTATTTGAAAATGTCTTTGTGTGCTGTGCTTGTGTGTTGTGACTGAGTGGTTTATGGGCGGGAGGAGTGGTTGGTGGGTGTGTTCGTGTGGAGGGACAAGTGACTCGATGGTAGTGCCTGGCGGACTCTAATATTCAGGGGGAACGCTCATGCTGACTTTGTCAAGGGCAGTAGTTTATCTTGGCATGGCATCATGCCATGAGTTCTAGTCTCTTACAACGGCTTAGAAACATTCAATGCCAAGTTCAGGGTCATGGCTTCATTACGGTTTTACTTGTTCTTTCTAACCCGAGTCCCTTCTTCCCCCTTGCATCCTTCATTCACATTCTTGTCTTTTCACCCACCAACACCTTACTCTTCATCCACGTTCTTGTCTGTTTCGAAGCATCATATGATGCTGGCTGATTTGCATATCAGATTTATCAGCTTGTGATGCTTTCACCATTTCGTGCCACTTCGTCAACTTATGTCATGATGCTTTTGGTTGCTTATGGGAGTCTAGTTGCCTAACCTCATGCCAGTTTCATCAGCTGCTCATCATTCCTTCAATAGCTGAGCCTCATGCCACTCTAGCAGCTCATGTCACGGTGCATGTGCATTTTATCAGCCCATCACTTGGAAGATGAGGATTTTCACGGTTTTTTCCATCACAATCTGCAAAATAGGGTGCATAGCAGTAGACCATGTACAACATCAACAAGGGTTTAGGGTTTGCTGAAACTCGTAACAAGGAAAGTTTCAATGACTAGGATTTAGGGTTTGGGGAAAACTCAAATCAAGGAAAGTTTCAATGACAAGTGATTAGGGTTTCCTGGAAACTCGAATGAAGGCAAGTTTCAATGACTAGGGTTTAGGGTTGCTGAAAACACAAATCAAGTCAAGTTTTGATTGTAAGGGTATACGGTTTGCCGAAAATTCAAATCAAGGCAAGTTTCAATGGCACACTAACGTTTCACCTACAGTAAGTCCGCCTTTGTGAGGCGGAACCTTCTTCATAGCGTCTGCGAGCTCAGCCGCAAATGAATCGTACTGGAGCGCAGCGTTGTCACCGCACACAATGCCGCCGTTCTGGTATGCATTGACAATAGCAGACCAACGGCCAGGCGTGAAGACAAATAGACATGCGGCACAATTTTAGGATCCACAGTAAATGCTCCGACTAGTGCTGCATCGAGCGCAGTGGTCCCATCACCCTCGGGGCTACCAGATTGGGGAGAAGCGGACTAGTTTAAGCAAAAGAGGTGACGGTGGTGGCTCCGGCAGCTGCGGGGGCAGGAGGAGAGTGCAGCCGCTGGCCAGAGGGGACGGTGGTGGCTCCAGCAGCTGCGGGGGCAGGAGGAGAGTGCAGCCGCTGGCCAGAGGGTGACGGTGGTGGCTCCAGCAGCTGCGGGGGCAGGAGGAGAGTGCAGCCGCTGGCCAGAAGGTGACGGTGGTGGCTCCAGCAGCTGCGGGGGCAGGAGGAGAGTGCAGCCGCTGGCCAGAGGTGACGGTGGTGGCTCCAGCAGCTGCGGGGGCAGGAGGAGAGTGCAGCCGCTGGCCAGAGGGTGACGGTGGTGGCTCCAGCAGCTGCGGGGGCAGGAGGAGAGTGCAGGCGCTGGCCAGAGGTGACGGTGGTGGCTCCAGCAGCTGCGGGGGCACGAGGAGAGTGCAGGCGCTGCCCAGAGGTGACGGTGGTGGCTCCAGCAGCTGCGGGGGCACGAGGAGAGTGCAGCCGCTGGCCAGAGGTGACGGTGGTGGCTCCAGCAGCTGCTGGGGCAGGAGGAGAGTGCAGCCGCTGGCCAGAGGTGACGATGGTGGCTCCAGCAGCTGCGGGGGCAGGAGGAGAGTGCAGCCGCTGGCCTGAGGTGACGGTGGTGGCTCCAGCAGCTGCGGGGGCAGGAGGAGAGTGCAGCCGCTGGCCAGAGGTGACGGTGGTGGCTCCAGCAGCTGGAGGGGCAGTAGGAGAGTGCAGCCGCTGGCCAGAGGTGACGGTGGTGGCTCCAGCAGCTGCGGGGGTAGGAGGAGAGTGCAGCCGCTGGCCAGAGGTGACGGTGGTGGCTCCAGCAGCTGCGGGGGCAGGAGGAGAGTGCAGCCGCTGGCCAGAGGTGACGGTGGTGGCTCCAGCAGCTGCGGGGGCAGGAGGAGAGTGCAGCCGCTGGCCAGAGGTGACGGTGGTGGCTCCAGCAGCTGCGGGGGCAGGAGGAGAGTGCAGCCGCTGGCCAGAGGTGACGGTGGTGGCTCCAGCAGCTGCGGGGGCAGGAGGAGAGTGCAGCCGCTGGCCAGAGGTGACGGTGGTGGCTCCAGCAGCTGCGGGGGCAGGAGGAGAGTGCAGCCGCTGGCCAGAGGTGACGGTGGTGGCTCCAGCAGCTGCGGGGGCAGGAGGAGAGTGCACCCGCTGGCCAGAGGTGACGGTGGTGGCTCCAGCAGCTGCGGGGGCAGGAGGAGAGTGCAGCCGCTGGCCAGAGGTGACGGTGGTGGCTCCAGCAGCTGCGGGGGCAGGAGGAGAGTGCAGCCGCTGGCCAGAGGTGACGGTGGTGGCTCCAGCAGCTGCGGGGGCAGGAGGAGAGTGCAGCCGCTGGCCAGAGGTGACGGTGGTGGCTCCAGCAGCTGCGGGGGCAGGAGGAGAGTGCAGCCGCTGGCCAGAGGTGACGGTGGTGGCTCCAGCAGCTGCGGGGGTAGGAGGAGAGTGCAGCCGCTGGCCAGAGGTGACGGTGGTGGCTCCAGCAGCTGCGGGGGCAGGAGGAGAGTGCAGCCGCTGGCCTGAGGTGACGGTGGTGGCTCCAGCAGCTGCGGGGGCAGGAGGAGAGTGCAGCCGCTGGCCAGAGGTGACGGTGGTGGCTCCAGCAGCTACTGGGGCAGGAGGAGAGTGCAGCCGCTGGCCAGAGGTGACGGTGGTGGCTCCAGCAGCTGCGGGGGCAGGAGGAGAGTGCAGCCGCTGGCCAGAGGTGACGGTGGTGGCTCCAGCAGCTGCGCGGGCAGTAGGAGAGTGCAGCCGCTGGCCAGAGGTGACGGTGGTGGCTCCAGCAGCTGCGAGGGCAGGAGGAGAGTGCAGCCGCTGGCCAGAGGTGACGGTGGTGGCTCCAGCAGCTGCGGGGGCAGGAGGAGAGTGCAGCCGCTGGCCAGAGGTGACGGTGGTGGCTCCAGCAGCTGCGGGGGCAGGAGGAGAGTGCAGCCGCTGGCCAGAGGTGACGGTGGTGGCTCCAGCAGCTGCGGGGGCAGGAGGAGAGTGCACCCGCTGGCCAGAGGTGACGGTGGTGGCTCCAGCAGCTGCGGGGGCAGGAGGAGAGTGCAGCCGCTGGCCAGAGGTGACGGTGGTGGCTCCAGCAGCTGCGGGGGCAGGAGGAGAGTGCAGCCGCTGGCCAGAGGTGACGGTGGTGGCTCCAGCAGCTGCGGGGGCAGGAGGAGAGTGCAGCCGCTGGCCAGAGGTGACGGTGGTGGCTCCAGCAGCTGCGGGGGCAGGAGGAGAGTGCAGCCGCTGGCCAGAGGTGACGGTGGTGGCTCCAGCAGCTGCGGGGGCAGGAGGAGAGTGCAGCCGCTGGCCAGAGGTGACGGTGGTGGCTCCAGCAGCTGCGGGGGCAGGAGGAGAGTGCAGCCGCTGGCCTGAGGTGACGGTGGTGGCTCCAGCAGCTGCGGGGGCAGGAGGAGAGTGCAGCCGCTGGCCAGAGGTGACGGTGGTGGCTCCAGCAGCTGCGGGTGCAGGAGGAGAGTGCAGCCGCTGGCCAGAGGTGACGGTGGTGGCTCCAGCAGCTGCAGGGGCAGGAGGAGAGTGCAGCCGCTGGCCAGAGGTGACGGTGGTGGCTCTAGCAGCTGTGGGGGAAGGAGGAGAGTGCAGCCGCTGGCCAGAGGTGACGGTGGTGGCTCCAGCAGCTGCGGGGGCAGGAGGAGAGTGCAGCCTCTGGCCAGAGGTGACGGTGGTGGCTCCAGCAGCTGCGTGCAGTCGCTGGCCAGAGGTGACGGTGGTGGCTCCAGCAGCTGCGGGGGCAGGAGGAGAGTGCAGCTGCTGGCTTGAGGTGACGGTGGGGGCTCCAGCAGCTGCGGGGGCAGGAGGAGAGTGCAGCCGCTGGCCGGAGGTGACGGTGGTGGCTCAGCAGCTGCGGGGGCAGGAGGAGAGTGCAGCCGCTGGCCAGAGGTGACGGTGGTGGCTCCAGCAGCTGCGAGGGCAGGAGGAGTGCACTCTGGCATGAGCTGACGGTGGTGGCTCCAGCAGCTGCGGGGGCAGGAGGAGAGTGCAGGCAGGAGGAGAGTGCAGCCACTGGCCTGAGGTGTCGGTGGTGGCTCCAGCAGCTGCGGGGGCAGCAGGAGAGTGCAGCCGCTGGCCTGAGGTGACGGTGGTGGCTCCAGCAGCTGCGGGGGCAGGAGGAGAGTGCAGCCGCTGGCTAGAGGTGACGGTGGTGGCTCCAGCAGCTACGGGGGCAGGAGGAGAGTGCAGCCGCTGGCCAGAGGTGACGGTGGTGGCTCCAGCAGCTGCGGGGGCAGCAGCCGCTGGCCTGAGGTGACGGTGGTGGCTCCAGCAGCTGCGGGGGCAGGAGGAGAGTGCAGCCGCTGGCCTGAGGTGACGGTGGTAGCTGCAGCAGCTGCGGGGGCAGGAGGAGAGTGCAGCTGCTGGCCAGAGGTGACGGAGGTGGCTCCAGCAGCTGTGGGGGCAGGAGGAGAGTGCAGCCGCTGGTTTGAGGTGACAGGGGTGGCTCCAGCAGTTGCGGGGATGTCCGAATTCTGAGGGTAACACCTTAGAAATCCTGACAGAGGGTGTAGGGCAGGGCGAAGGCGGAAATCCTGTACATTTGTACATAAGGCAGCCAGTGGCGGGGAGCTGTAACGGCAGTAGCAAGGCAGGATGCGACACTGGACAAGGGGGGCAGGGACCGAAGGATTCAATTCGGAACTGGGTGGCAGCAGTGCGGATTGGGTGCGCTGGCAGGGTTACTGCAGAAGTGACGTGGATGTGGGGGGTGCGAGTGTGTGATGTGTGGTGTGCATGTGTGTGTTTTGGTTTCTTTTTGCAGACATCGAGTCCAGGACAGAGCTGGAAGGCAGCAACGCAAGCTGGAGACGGGCTGGAAGGCAATGTGGATGGCAAGCTAGGCAGCCCACCAGCGTTCCATTGTTAGGCTAGCCTTGCAAGGGTTTGATTAGGGAAGATTAAGGCAGGGTCCTGGGCCATGGGACTGCCACTCCGTGTTTTTTTTCGTGAATTACTGCAATATTCTTCAAGATAAGCAGTTCTAGCACGGAGCCATAGCCGCAGTCAAGATGAGTTAGTAGGAAGCTTAGTATACAGACACGCAGTCGATGCAGTTAAGATCTGGACGACACTTAGAGCCGGTGACGGTCAAGCTGAATACGGGCAAGGAGATGGCGAGCGAGGAGAGGAATAATCAGGCGACGAATCAGTCGCAGGAGACGGGATGGACGGATGGCCAGAACGGGCCCAGCGACGTGGCGAGTGGACCGCAAGGCGGCACTCGAGCAGATCTCGGAGATGGCGGGAATAATGCCTCCGACGAACAGAGGGAGCGCCTGCGCAGCCAGCAGCCGGGGCGCTCGCAACCGGGAGGACCGAGCGCTTACCAGGGGAGTGCGTCGTGGCAAGGGATGGAAGACGAGATGACGATGCAGCGTTGGAATTATACGCAGTTGCCCAAGATCGAAGTGCCGGAGAGATTCTCGGGAGACGCGAGGCGTGGGCCGAGTCTGAAGAATTATGTCATGTTGCTGGAGAACTTACAGGCGCGCTGGACGAAGGACCGGTTGGATCCGGAGGAGTTCTTCAGGGGGCTAGCGAACACCTTGGCGGGGGAAGCTGAGACCTACTATCGAATCTCCAGGAGAGAGCTGCTGGAATGGTCGGCGGGGCGTGCGCCAGGCGAGCGGGACCCGACTACGCGTTTCTTAGCAATGCTCCACAAGCAGTCCCCCTTGCGGACGGCGGAAAGGGTGGTCGAATTCCGGGGATTCCGCCGCAGGGAAGGAGAGTCGCTGCTGGCTTATTACGGGAGGCTCGTGGAGCTGGGAGTGGATATGAACTGCACCGACCAGGGACGGCTGATAGGGAAGTTTGTGAATGGGCTGAGTCAACCCCTGCGGCAGGACGTGGAAGTGCGGGTGTTCGAGATGGGAGCGGAGGCAACCTTGAGGGAAGCATACGAGATTGTGAAGCGCGTAGAAACAGGGCGGCGGCTTTACGAAGTGGAGCGGACGTCGAATAGAGGACTAGAAAGGAGGAGGCCGGCATGGGCGGCGGCATCAGCTTACCGCGAGCCAGAGGAGAGGGGCCGAGAGGAACCTCGACGCTGTCACAACTGCGGGCTGACCTGACACCTTCGGCGAGATTGCCGCAACCCCGCGGCTTGCTCGCTATGCGGGAGCCGAGAGCACATGGGAAGGGAATGCCCAGGCGCACCGATCTGTGCGCGTTGCAATTGGAAGGGACACTGAGAAGCGGATTGTTACGCGGGGAGAAGGGAGCGACGGGGTGCAGATGGAGGGGAGGATCGGCAAGCCACTATCGCGCGCCTGCGTGCGCAGCTAGCCGAGTTGGAGGCTTCCGAGCAGAGAGAACCTGCCATGGTGGCACACAAAGAGGAGGATGCGGAGGAACCCGAGTTTATGCTCATGGCTCAGCCAGCGCGCGGCCGAGATGAGTTGGGCTTGCGAAGGGCCACAAGGAGGCAGAACTTTCCTGAGGATGTGCGGCGAGAAGAAGGGCAAAGGCAGCGAGCGAGCAATAGCCCTGAAGCCCCTGGAGCAGCGTACCAACACCCAAGGGAGAGGATGGCCTGCCAGGCCACCGTACTGACCATAGCAGCAGGAGCGGTCACTATCAGAGGATTCACGGCCCAACGGGCCATAGTCGACACGGGAGCTGCGCATGTGCTGATCGGCAAGCGCCTGGCGGAGAAGCTGCAGCTGCACAAGCCGGGGCGGCTAATCCTGGAAGGTTACCTCTTGATGACGGCGGATGGGGGGGAGGCAAAGTGGATGCCCAAGACCAGGCAGTCCATGTCCTTGATGCTTAACCCGGGAACCTCGGAGGAGTGTGCGCCACGGGAGGACTGCGGAGTGTCGGAGTTGGAGGACTTTGAATTGCTCATAGGGGTGGAATACTTGTTTGGGATCGGAGCCACCATCTGCATGTGGGAAGAGAAGGTGCAGTACCGGGTGTGCTACTGGGAAGACGATGGGCCGATCGGCACCTTGCCGGTGCGCTTCGTGCGGAGAGAACCAAGGGAGGCGTACCAGTGTACGGAAGCGGAGGTGCGGGAAGAGTTGGGCATACCCACCTGGCAACAGATTGCGCGGTTGCCGGCATCACAGCCGGGACAAGCAGGATGAGAGCTAGACCTCAAGGCGCTGTGCACCAACACCAAGCGGCTGCTGGGACCAACAGTCGTGCTAGACCTCTTCGGGGGCATAGGAACAGGGCTGGCTGCGGTGCTGAAGGCCGGCATAAACGTGGAGAAATGGATTCTGGTGGAGAGCGACATGGAGGCAGCCAAGATGGCGGCGTGCCACGCACACAAGCTGTAGGAACGATACCCGCACCAATTTGGCACATTGACCTTGGATCAAAGCCTGAGATGCGGGTCATGCAACATACGCAGCGTCGATGAGCAACGGCTGCGCCAGTGGGGAAGGATTGACATAGTAGTAGCAGGGTGGGAGTGTCAGGATTATTCACGAGCGGGAGAAGGGAGAGGCATGAGGGATGAAAGGAGCAGTCTATTCCGAGAGTTGCAGCGAGTGCTGGGGTTGATAAAGAGAATTCAAGGTGACGTGCTTTACATAGTGGAAAACGTGGACATGGAAGGGGATATAAGGGAGCAGGTGCAGCTAGCGCATGAGGAAGTCATGGCTGCAGTGGAGCCAGGCATGGTAGCAGACGGGGCACAGGCGGGAAGCAGGACACACAGAGTCCGACGCTACTGGACGAATGGGGTCAGTGAAGCAGCGCTGCAGTACTGCTTATCCCTGATGGAGCGCCCAATTCCTTTGCTGGTAGAGGACATCCGCGAGCCGGGAAGGTTGGCGGCACCGGTGACGAGGCTAGACCACCCAGCGCTATTTCTCTGCAACGAGGTGGGCAAGCTGAGGCAGGCCTGGCCAACATTCGTCTCCTACCAGAACGCCGCATCCTTCAGGATGCACGGCGACAACCCAGGCCCGGGCATGGTCTACGACTGTACGGCCGGGGAGTGGCAAGAGCCAACAGCTCTCGAGAAGGAGCTGGCGATGGGCTTCATGGAGGACGCCACCACACACCCAGAGGTGACGGAGGAAGAGAGGAGGAGAGCGCTAGGTAGAGCCATGGATCTCAACGTCATGCATTGGCTCGTAGCCACCATCTGGAATTACCAGTCACGGCTGTGATGGGAGCGTAAGTGAGACAAAGCAGCAGCAGTGCAGCCACCAACGGAAAGATCAGCGGCGAAGGAGACCATGGCGCGGGCAATGCTAGGCGGGATGCAGGAGCACGATGAGCGGCAACACGAGCGGGGGCACCCACTGGAGAGGAGATGGGTCTATCCTTGGGAGGAGGAAGAGGAGAGACCAATCGTATACGCCGAGCAAGAGGAGATTTGGCTGCCAGGAGAACGGGAGGAAGAAGCGGTGGACAAGAAGCGGGAGGATTTCGATTGGCTGGAGGAGGCAATTGAGAGGCAGAGGCGCAGGGAATGAGACGAGTGGGAGTTCGGCTACAGCGACTTCGCCCTCATGGCAGCGACAAAGGAACCAGCTCCGGCTGCAGGGGAGGAAGGAAGCGAGCAGCCGCGTAGCAGCACGGAAGCAAGGCACTCAGCGGCCACAGGAACGGAGGAAGCAGAGCAGCTGATGCCATGAATAGAGCAGCCACAGCGGCCAGAAGGGCAGCCAGAATGGGTGATCGGAGAGGGCATGTCGGAAGCCGATGCCACCAAGTTAAAAGAAGTCTTGGCAAAGCATCGGGCGGCTTTTGCCTACTCGTTGAAGGAGGTGGGAAGGTGCAACATGGCGGTGGTCACTCTGGATCTGACGACAGACATCCCGGTATACCAGCGGTGGCGGCGCATGACAGCGGAAGAGACACAGATATGCAAGGGGAAGTGTGAGGAGTTGCTGGAAGCAGGATTCATCAGGAAATCCAATCCCGAATACGCAGCGGCGACGGTGGTAGCAGCACGGACAGATCTGACGAGCAAGGTGCTTTTGAAGAGGATGTGTGGGGATTACACAGGCCTCAACAAGATCACGATCATGAAGAGGTATCAGACGCCGATGCCGGACGAGATCTTTGATTTGCTGGCAGAAGCACTCGTGCTCACCACACTAGACCCGCGGCAGGGTTTCAACCAGATACCCATAGCAGAAGTCGACAAGAAGAAATCTGCATTCCATGGGCCAAACGGGCAATACGAATGGAACTTCTTGCCCTTTGGTTTGAAGTCGGCGTCGCCAGAATTCCAGCGGGTCATGGACCAGGTGCTCAGGGAAATAAAGAATGCGGCATGCTACATAGACGATGTCATCGTGTTCAGCACAGACAGCAGCACGCACGTGAGAGACGTGGAAGCCATACTGAGCGCCATTCAGGGGGCAGGCCTTACCTGCCATCCAGGAAAGTGCAAGTTTGGGCAGACAACTGTAGAGTATCTGGGGTTTAAAGTGGAAGGGGGGAAGATCGGGATACGAAAGGCGAAGGTTGAGGTGCTGGACCGCATGGCGACGCCAAAGGACCGAACTATCCTGCGAGCGCTGTTGGGCTTCCTGAATTACTACCGCAAGTTCGTGCCCAACTTCAGCAGCAGAGCCGCT